TGGCTCACTTGGTTAAGCGGCCAGCTTCGCTCAGGTCATGATCTCAGTTTGTGGGTTCGAGCCCCGCGTTGGGCTCTGTGCTGCCAGCTCAGAGCCTGGAGCCTGCTTCAGATTCTGTGTCTCCCTCTCTCTGCCCCTCCCCAACTCATGCTCTTGTCTTTCTCTGTCAAAAATAAATAAACATTAAAAGAAAGAAAGATACAATAGAACGTGGAGTCTATGTTATAGAAATGGGAGGACTTGCCGAGGAGGGAGAACTCAAGTGCCTGCTGAAGTCCAGGAGCAGACTCACGAGAGACTGTGGACTGAGCGTGGGGTGTCGAGCGGAGGTCACAGAGGTAGAGCAGGACCAGGTGATGATGCCTGAAGTGGAGAGACAGCCAGCGTTTGGCAAGCTGGGGTGGAGAGGCGGAGGAAGGTGCTGGAACTTGGAGTCCATGAAGGAGGTGGTCCAGAATCTGAGCTGTGCCCCACATCCCTCAGTCTTTTCCCAGACACCTAACATGTCCTAGCTTTTGTTTGGTTACCTGTAATAAAGTAATAATAGTCATGTGCTTTGCTTTATCTATATGATGGGAACAGTACTTCTGCTTTGAAAGGCTTCTCGTAAGAATTGTATTAATGCACCCAGCACAGCTTCTGACTCGTAGAAATTTTAAGGTGGCTGTTGGTGTTTTCCTGGACTTTATTTATTTATTTATTTATTTTTTAATTTTTATTTATTTCTAGGAGAAAGAGAGAGAGACAGCGTGAGCAGGGGAGGGTCAGAGAGAGAGGGAGACACAGACTCCGAAATAGGCTCCAGGCTCTGAGCTGGCAGTCAGCCCAGAGCCCAATGCAGGGCTCGAACCCACGAACCGCGAGATCATGACCTAAGCGAAAGTCGGACGCTTAACCAACTAAGCCACCCAGGTGCCCCTGTTTTCCTGGACTTTAAAAGCATCTTGTTATGGAACATTCTAGCATACACAAAAGCAGTCGGATATAATTCTTCTAGTTTCTGTTACTGCAGAACAAACCACTGCAAAATTTAGTGGCTTTCAGCAACAGTCATTTTATTGTCTCTCACAAGCCCTGTGGGTAGAGAATGTAGAAAGGCCTTAGCCAGTTCTGCACACTAGCTCCTGTGTGGTTGCAGAGACTGCAGCTGGGGCTGGGTGCAGCCAGGCTCTGCATGTCTGCACACCTGCCTGTCTCACCTGGCTCGGCTGTGTCTCCACATGGTGTGTCCTCACCTCCCCTCTCTGTGTGGCTCCCTTCATGGGACAGTTTGGGCTTTCCAGAACTGGGCAGTCTCGTTGCATCTGTCCCACTGCTCTGTGCTGTTGACCAGCCCCTGAGGTCAGCCCAGACTTCAGGAGAGGAGAGCCGAGAACTTACAGACATGCCTTTAAAACCTGCCCAGGTCAGGGACACCTGGGTGGCTTAGTTGGTTAAGCGTCCGACTTTCGCTTAGGTCATGATCTCGCAGTTCGTGGGTTCGAGCCCCGCGTCGGGCTCTGTGCTGACTGCCAGCTCAGAGCCTGGAGCCTGTTTCAGAGTCTGTGTCTCCCTCTCTCTCTGACCCTTCCCTGCTCACGCTGTCTCTCTCTCTCTCTCCTAGAAATAAATAAATAATAAAAATTAAAAAAAAAAAAACCTGCCCAGGTCTTACTTATCACCCAGCGGCAGACAGTCCTCACCGTTTCAGTCCTGTTCTGTCTAAGCCCCATGCTTTTTCCTGGAATGTCTAAAGCCAAACTCAGGTACCATATTGTTTCCACAATAGAACTTCAGAATCTAATGGATGAAGAACTTTTATTTAACATATGCACTCACTAATAATTCTTAGATACGTTTGACGTCCAAATCACATCCATAGGTTTGCAGTATAAAACCGTCACAGATTTTGAGTATAACCACATGTAGCCTTTTCCTGTCTCTGCACAATTATTGTTCGCTGCCAACCCAAGTCACGTGTTAGGATCACACATCCTTTCTCTGCCTTTGTGACTTTTATAGAATCCACGATTGCCACGTCTTTGTCATTTGATAACCTTCCTGCAACTTTTTTCACATTCTGTGTTTCCTCCAAGTGTCTGTGCACGAGTGTGTGGGTCTGTCCCGTACCTTATGTGATGGTGAGAGGCAATGGGAAATAGCGGGTGTGAAGTCAGAATACCAGTGTCTCATGGGATCACTGTTGTCCCTGTTGCTGCTGTCCTTGAATGGGAGTCCTCTTCTGAGGTTCTAAGATCAAGGCTGATAGGACACCTGCAGTATATAAGCTGTTTTGTTGAAGTGTGGGTGCCCTTGTAAAGCAGATGTCCAGCTAACTTTTTACTTAGAAAACTCCAAGTGTCAATTTCTGTAGATGCTTTTTGTTGAGTCCATTCAGATTTTTCAGAAAAAGATGTTGGGACCGCATCACAGGCTGTGTGTCTAGCGGCCAGTCTTCCGACACAGGCAGGTGCCGAGGAACTGCACAGCCTTTTGTCCTGGCGGAGCGCATGCCCAGACCTTCCTCTCCTGCTGACAGGCGGCATGGGGAGGATGTGCAGTCTTAGCACTTCTTACACAGGACTCCCAGCGCTTGGGTTTTGGGCTCTCTGCTGTGACCCCAGTTTCCATGGTCCAGCACTTCGATGTCTCCTGTTCCTGGTCTTTGGAGTTTGCCAGACAGATACACTTCCTTCTCGTTAGTGCACCTCTCTGAGAAGGGTTGATTTTGACTTTGTGCCCTCTCTTGGGCATTTCGCATTCTCAACTTCCGTTCTTCATAAACATGGTTGGAGAGTACACGCAGTCAAATATCTCTTGGCCTGTACTGGTATGGATACATGATTGAATAAGTAAATTTTAGGGTGAGAAGAGGCAAGTCTCTGGTGCAGAAGAATTCCAAATAATGTATGTGGATGCGCCGCCCTGAAAGAGGTGAACTCTGCCTACTCCTTAAATGTGAGCTGGGCACGGTGACTTATTTCCAGAGTACAGTACAGAAGGATTTCCCACAGCGGAAACCCTTCCCATCAGGCCTGGTAGTCGGCATTTGCATCCTGGTGGTAAGGGTGCTGACAGTGTGTACGCTTGATAGGATGGGTGGGGACGATGCTTCACCTCTGCCATCTTCCCGAAAACACTTTAACTTAGTCTAATCACCATAAAAATATCAGACTAGTCCCCGTTGAGGGGTAATCTACAAAGTTCTTGGTCACTAATCCTCAAAATTGTCCTATTAAGAGAGGGGTATGGAATACACAGAACTCTCTGTACTGTCTTTGCAATAATTCTATAAATCTAAAATTTCCAAAATGTGTATTTTCAAAGAATTAGTTAAGGGGCACCTGGGCGACTCAGCCGGTTAAGCGTCCGACTTCAGCTAAGGTCGTGATCTCATGGCTTGTGAGTTTGAGCCCCACATCTGGCTCCGTGCTGACAGCTTGGAGCCTGGAGCCTGCTTCGGATTCTGTATCTCCCTCTCTCTCTACCCCTCCCTTGCTCATGCTCTCTCTCAAAAACAAATAAACATTAAAAAAAAATTAAAGAATTAGTTAAAACACATCCTGTTTATAGCCAAAGACAGCATTAATCTAGATCATTTATTCTGGGAACCCTCAACATTTGAATCTTTTTAGGGATTTAGCAACCTTAGGGCATCAGCTAGAGCTGACACAGAGCCCAGTCTTGGGGGTCCTTTCTCTTCTTTGCCAGGAAGACATGAAAACCTCAGAACCGCCCCCCCAACACCTGTTATTTCAGTATCCGAGCAGCATAAACACCTCTCTCTATATAGATAGCAGCACTCAAGCCTGTAGCCTGTACCTAAGTCCAGTGCTAACAGCTTGTTAAAGTCCTCATAAGAATACAGACGGATCCTTATCCTTGTGTTACAAGTTCCCTGCGGTTCTTCCCAGAACAGGGCGGGTGGGGGGGTCCAGGCAGCCTCCTAGTTCCATTCACTGTGAAGTTTGTGCCTCTTTGGTGGTTTTTTTCTGGCAGAGGAAATGTGGCTGAAACATCTACCATCTTGAAACTGGAACTTTCTTACTGGTTATTTTCTCCTCCTCTGGAGTTTCCAGAGTATGACAACTAGAAGTGTCCACACTTCTTCAGAAATAGAAGTTGTAACTGGGAAACAGATGATATTTATTTTGTGTGAGCTATTTTTCATAACATTCCAAGTTTCTTAGTATTCTTGTGCAATGTAGTGAATAAGGTCTGAATCTTCAAGAAATGGTTCTACAATGGAGCCTTTTCTGGGTTGCTGGTGTGAGGGTACCTGAGTAATTTTTCATTTGTCAGTAATGTTCATCTGCTTCCCTTCTGTTCACTTATATGATCTCAGATGACTTTTCTGTAACTCACTCTTCATCAGCGTGACACTTGAAAATACTCCTTTCCCCTATAAAATTGGAAATTGCAAAATGTATTTCCTTTTCCAAGTTAATTTGGAATATCACAGTGTGTGAATTGTAATAGTAACGAACACTTGGGCACCGGCCGTAGGTCCGCCACTATTCTGAGGGCCTTGCATGTGTGTGTTCACCCTGTGTGGAGCACTCCTGGAATTTATAGCTTGCCTGTAAGGAAACCGGGGCATGCAAGTCACTGTGTGGCAGAGCCGACTTCAGAGCCTCTGTCCTGACCATCGTTCCTGCTTTTTCACGGTCTTCACTGGGTCTTATACAGATTGTTAAGGGACTCCTTCATAAGAATGACCTGGAGGCCCACGAGTCACTGGCCTGTGCCACGTTGAGGTTCCGATGAGCTGACTTCCTTACATGCGTGATCCCATGAAGATGGAAAAGTAACTGTCCTCATATAAAATTGGATGTAAGGGGTGTATCACTACAGCTTTTTGTGGTGGGTGGAATTCATGGTTTGCTTGAGTCCGGTGGCTTCTGTTTCTGGCCGGTGTCCATTTAATCTACTCTAAAAGCAGAATTGACCTCAAATATATTCAGTGACTTGGTTTTTCTGTTGGGCAAGGAATCTGAATTTTTCCCCTGTCTTTCCTACAGAATACTTCGAACTTTGTGTAGAAAACTAAGACTTCCGGAAACTTTTCATTTTCGTCACTTAGCGCACCTCACGCCAGGCTTCGTTGGCGCTGACCTGATGGCGCTCTGCCGAGAGGCAGCCATGTGTGCAGTCAGTAGGGTCCTGATGAAGGTGCCAGAGCCGCAGGCCGACCTTGAGATGGAAGCTTTGCTGCCTGGAGGAAGCCGGGGATGTGGGATTGGAACCAAGCCCTCTTCTGCAGCACAGGTGCTTTCCCCACGGTGCCTTAACCTGTCCTTTGTGTCGGCCATGCAGTGAGTGTTGGTATAGTTGAGGTTTATGATTTTATGTTTTATTGGTGTTTTATCCATAGGATAATTACCAGTTAACACCCAGGATGTCTGTAGCTTCCAAAGTACAAGTTCTTTTACTTTTTTAGCCAGTTCTGAATAAATTCCTTTTACACTATTGATTATGAGCCTCTGGAGCAGGGGTTGGCAAGCTGTGGCCTCCCTGCCCCTGCTTGTCTTGTAAACTGAAATCACAGAGGAACGCAGCCACATTCCTGTATTTACACATGGCCTCCCTGCCACCACACTTCATGTCAGGCCCCCCACAGGGGTCCTTGCCGTGAGACCGTGTGGCTCACAGGCCTGCAGTGTGCACCCTCCAGCCCTGGCCAGAGAGCTGTCTGGCTGCTGTAGGAGCGCCAGGCACTGGGTTGTATTTCCCAGTCACCTTCTGGTCCAGCACACCAGGACAGTCTGTTAGCGCCCCACGTCTGTGAGCTGGCACCACACAGCTCTGGAGGACAGTGCGTGTGTGAGGGGCCATCCATGTGTCCAAAGTCAGCGCTGTAGCTGTGAGCTCATACTTTGTGTGTGGGCTTCATACGACTCTGTCATCGAAGGAACTAAGCATAGGAGACAGTGTCCTGCCCGGGCCGCACAGCTGCTTTTCCTACAGCAGCTCCTGGTCCGTGGTCAGATGTCTTTTCCTTCCTCACTCACTTGGAGCCACAGTCCATCTGTTAAAAAAAATAGTAAGCATATTTCTTATACGAGATACACAGAAGTCATGGGCTAAATGACTCAGCATTATGTTTCTCCTGCTTTTCATAGTCTTCTCGGAGCAAGGAGTCTGTCTGCCTCTGAAGCTCAAGACTTGGTGTAGTGCCTTTCGAGGGACCATGTTATGAATTATATTGCCATCAGAGTAACTTTGTTGAATTTCATCAAGATTCAGCTGCTTCATGATTATTTATAAATGAAAATTGGAAGAAATAGATTGTTGTGGAAACAAAGGTTACCTACCAACTGCCCGTATTTGCCACAGCTGGCCCTTGTTAGCACACTGATATCCTTGTCCTACATTGGGTTGTAGTCAGCGGACCTTTCCTCAGCCAAATCTTCCATCCACACAGAGTAAAATAAATGGCTCTATTTCAGTGCAGAAAATTGTTAAAATACATAGTAGTTCATCATAGCTTAAAGATATATTGCAGTAATAATTTTTTAAAGTACAAAAATAAGTTTTCCAACAAATATGTGGTTTTTTCATTTTTACCCTCGATCGCTGCCTTTAAGGATGAATTGCAGAGGCTGCTGGCATTGCTGCAAAACCAGGATCCTCTCTCAGAGGAGCGGCTGCAAGGGCTGCGCATTGAACTGAATGACTTCACTGTTGCTCTGTCCTCCGTCCAGCCCTCAGCCAAAAGGGAGGGCTTTGTCACTGTCCCCAATGTGACTTGGGCAGATATCGGTGCCCTGGAAGATGTCAGAGAGGAGCTCACCATGGCCATCCTGGTAGGTGTGTCTGCTGCGGAACAGCGCTGACCCGTGCAACAGTTGCAGGAGGGCTGGACTGTATGTTTTCTCTTGTGTGTTCTGCTGCACTGTCGTTCAGCCTCCATCAACCTGTTTTGTTCTTCTGAGGTCTGTCTTAGGCTTATTCTTGGCTGTGCTTGAATTCTGTGGCAGTGAATTAAAAAATAAAAAACAAAAAAAAAAACCAGTTTGAGTTTCAACCAAGAGCCAAGAGACTTTGAGAAATACTATCTCAGCTCGCTCCTGCTCCTCTGGGTCAGAGCAATTTCATGAAAGTCTGGATTGATTTTCGTTCACTCTTACTTTTCCACTTTACTGATCATTCCATGGATCTTCTGGAGGAACGCTCAGTCTAGAGGTGTGTAGGTGCTGGGAGAGGAGTGGGTGCAGGGGCTGGTGTGCCTGGCTCCTGACCACGGATGGCACTGCCCCTTCTCCGTCTCCAGGAGCATACCGCCTGAAGCTTCATAGCCTGGAAATGTAGGTAGTTTAAAAAAAAAAAAAAACACACCTTGGTTTTAAGATGCTGAAGGTATTGTATCTTTATGTTTGGAGTGTTTTCAGAACTTACATTTAGGGGTGATTTCCTCATGAGCAGGGACCTGATTTAGCACCTTGTATTCTGTGCTTGGCGCAGAGGTGAGCGCCCTGCCAGCTCTCACCTCCAGGCCCTGTGGTCATGGTGGCAGCTTGGTCTGGAGATAATGCAGACACACAGTATGAATGGACATTCATAACGGATCCACTTTGGTGTTGTTCTTTGCAGGCACCGGTACGTAACCCCGATCAGTTCAGAGCCCTTGGATTGGTGACCCCAGCTGGAGTCCTCCTGGCGGGCCCACCCGGCTGCGGGAAGACACTGCTGGCCAAGGTGCGTGGAGCACGGCTGAGGGCTTTCTCTCCACTGTCTCATCGCATCATGGGAATTTAACCTACATGTTACAGTGGGCTGGTTTTACATGATTTCTATCACACGGTCATTTTAGTAAGACTGATAGTTTTCTTCAGGAAAGTTTTCCACTTTTGGTTATAGAAGGTTCATCATTGGACACTTGCAAAACAAAAATATATATTTTTTTAATGTTTGTTTATTTTTGAGAGAGAAGAGTGGAAGCAGGGGAGGGGCAGAGAGAGAGGGAGACACAGAATCCAAAGCAGGCTCCAGACTCTGAGCTGTCAGCACAGAGCCTGACATGGGGCTCGAACCCACGAACACCAAGATCATGACCTAAGCCGAGGTTGGATGCTTAACCGACTGAGCCACCCAGGTGCCCCCATGAAAGTAAAGTTTTTTTTACATGAACCATGACTCCATCAATTTTAACACAGCAGTTATATACTTTGTGACTCTGGCTTTTTAATGAGTACTATTGCACAGTTGTAGCTGACCTTGTTTCCCTCTTTGATGTAGTCATTTATAACCCAAGTATTTTCTTTGATGTTCCTTACAATTGTTATTTTAAAAAATTGGTTTTTTCAAGGGACCTGGACGGCTCAGTCAATTGAGTGTCGGTTTCTTAGGTTTAGCTCAGGTCATGATGTCACAAGTTTTGTGAGATCGAGCTCCTCATGAGGCTCTGCACTGACAGTGCAGAGACAGTGCAAGACCTCTGCTTGGGCTTCTGTCTCTCCCTCTCTCTGCTTCTTCCCTCCCTGTGCTCTCCTTAAAAATAAATAAACTTTAAAAGAAAGAAAGCGAAAAACAGCCAATAAATAGACTTTTAAAACCCCACTGGTAATTTTTAAAATGCAACTTAAGAAATGTAAGATACAATTTTTGCCTCCCAGACCGTCAGAGGTTAAAAGCAATGTTAGTGGCTCTTGCTCCTTCAGTGCGTGCTGTACAGATACGTAACAGTAGAATTTGCACAGACTGTCTGGAAGGCACTTTGGTAAGGGAGCAGATGTAACCTGGTAATGGGTCATTTTGATCAAGTGGAAAAGCTTTAAAAACAAGCATTCCTTTTATTAAAAAATTATTTAGAAATACATTCTAATAAAATAATTAGTCGTGGTACAAAAACTTAAGTACAGGACTGTTCAATTTAGTGTTGTTTCCATGGGAGTGATTTCCATAAAGTGTGGAGTATCTTTATGATAGACGTCTACACAGACGTTAAAAATACAGACGTGTATAATTGCTATGGGAAGATGTTCAAGAAATACTGCTCTGTGAGAAAAGCACTTTTAAAAACGTTGTATTTGTCAGAATGTGTGTAAAAGTTACTGATAGACATTACCTTGACGTGCATGTCACAGAACATGGAGAAGGGCTGACAAGAGAATGAAGCAGTGGCTCGTAGGAGGTGGTGGGGAGAGGATTATAAATAATGTGTCTCCCTTTTGCTTCAACAATTTTCTAAAACATGTGTTTTGAGAGAGAATGCAAGTGGGGAAGGGGCGGGGAGAGGAGGGAGAGAAAATCCCAAGCAGGCTCCATGCCACCACTGCTGAGCCCGACATGGGGCTTGACCCCACGAAGAGTGAGATCATGATCTGATCCAAATTCAAGAGTCAGCGCTCAACTGACTGAGTCCCCCAGGCACGCCCCATCTTAGCTGTTATTTTTCACATTTGTATAATTTTCCACCTATAATTTACTTAGCCTTTAACTTTTTAAAATATTTGAATTACTCTTAAATTAGGGATTGAAAGTAAGGGCATTTTTAGGAAGTGCCACAGCAGCTCAGTAGTTTGTGACTGCTCCGTAAATTATCAGATATGCACAGTGCCTTTTGCTCACGTGTGTACACATGTGTACATGTGTAATGTACACGTGACATTTTCCTAACTTATTTTTACTGCTATTACTGACTTCCTGGCTTAACGCTTCCAGTGCTCTTGTGAGGCACTGCTGAGGAGGGGAACCCCAGTGAGAGTGGTTCTGCATTTTCTTGAGAGCACTTTCAGAAGAATGCAGCCAGAAAGGAGGTCCCCCACATGAACATGTCAATTCACCCGGTGGACACAGGTTCCTGGCCAGGTGCCTTGTATCGTTTTTTAAAAAAATTAGTTACATTGGCCTTTGAGTAGCCCTGCTCCTGGCAGAGAGAGAAGGTTATTTGAAATCCATGGATACTGTTAAATCCTGAAGCAGATTTTCCTCCAGTCCCTGCTCCTGCCTCCCCTGACTGTCAGCAGTTTGGCACCTGTCTGTGCAGTTAGCGTTCTGGCACCTGCCCATCCGGAGCAGGGAGTCTTACCCGGGACTCTGCTGGTGGAATTCAGGCCCACTGGATCCAGGAACCCAGGTGGTGTTTTTTTCACCACTTTCTTCGGGTTCCCCAAGAGGTTCATGCCCAGAAGAGTAGAATAGTAGAAATGGTAGAAAATGCCCTTGAATGGCAGAAGCAAGGTATTACCATGGGAAAGTCATGGATCCACATGCTGGCCAGAACCTGGATGGGAATGAGGATTTGGGCCAGTCTTCCTGCTTCTGTTTACTCCTGATCATAGTGAGGGAATAATGGTTTTGTAAATGCAAGCACGTAGGAAGCAAGTAAGCAGCAGAAGGTGCAGGTGTGTGATTCCCAGAGCCGCCCGCTGCAGGTTGATGACTGCTAATAAACATCACCTGTCATCTGAGACCCTGGTGCGGACGCAGGCAGCTGCTGATGCTGCACGTGAGGCTCTTGGTGACTTACAGAAAGAAAACAGATGGTGTGGTCGCTGTGTCCCATGTAGGAGACAGGGAAGATCTCAGCCATTTCGGGAACTCCTGGGGGTCACGGTGGGTTAAATCTCACTTACCTGGCACGTGGAAGCTAGGATGCTAAGGCAGAGGAGCCATCTTTAGTAGATGTGCCCCCTTACTTGGCCGTGTGGGGTGTTGGGTGGCGGGGAATAAGCTGAGCGTCGCAGGTGGCCCACATCCGTCCATTTGCCAGCGGTGGGCTGTGGTGCTCAGTGCCAGCCTATGAGCAGGCACCTGTGTAGCGGCCTTGACTGCCATTTGGAAGAGGCTGGCAGTAAACACGCCAAACCAGGACAGCCAAACCAGGACAGTTAGGACTCAGCTCAGTTGTGATGTAAATAAGCAGATTGTTGTGGGTGGGAGGTGGTGACATTTGAGGGATGGTGACATTGAAGTGTCCTAAAGGACTCGGCCACATGAAGCAGCAGGGAGAGAACATCAATTGCAAAAATCCCTGAAGCTTGGAGGGACCCAGAGAAAACCAGTGGGTGGATTGAGGGGAACTGTTGTGTCCCAGACTACAGGCTTGTGAGCAGTGGTAAATACATCAGGTTTGAAATGATTTGACTGATGTTTTTAGAAACTTGTGGCGAGTAGTGGTCAGAGGAGAGCAAGAGTGGAAGAAGACAGTGAGGGTCTTGTCATCTCGTCTCATGTCCAGACTAGATGAGGCGGTCTGCGCGAGGGGTGTGTGGCGGAGGAGCAGGAAGTGTCAGACTCGTACATTTTGGACTCAGGTTGACAGGACTTGCAGATGGATTGGATGATGTGACAAGACAAGGGTCAAGGGGGCCACCAGAGTTTGGGGCTAAAAGCTGTCGGAGTTAGGGGCGTGGGATGTGGAGGGAGTTGGGACAGATCCAGGCATCCTGCTTTGGAAATGACGGGTTTGGGACGTCAGATCCATAGGAAGATGCCAAGCTGTCTGTTGGATATGGGTCTGGTGCTCCGAGGCCAGGCTCCAGGGAGAGAAGAATCCTTGGTGATGTATTTACATTTCTTCTCGGCACTCAGGTTCTTCTACACGTACAACCATATGTTTCTCCCTCGTTCTTCTTTGGCTTTGAGCCATGAAGTTTAGTAGTTATTAAAAGTAATCTGTAACACTGACCCTTGGCCGAGCCTCATACTGAGGTTTTTGAATTTTGGTTTATGAGTGAATGATTGCTTTCATTGGGCAAGGCACGTTTTGCTGCAGAGACTGGGATTTCTCTGGAATTGCAAAAGATGTGTGTGTATAAGCATGTTCGTGTAAGCAACACCTTCACACAGATGGTCCACAACATCCTGTCTGGTTTCTCATCTGTCTGAGGGATTCCTAGAAAGTTGTAGATGCATATTTCTTTTATTTTTTTTAATCCATTTCTCCTTTTCCTTTCCATTTTCTCCCTTTAAGAGAAACAGTATAAACTGCAAAAAGTCCTGTGTTGTCACAAATTACTGTTTACTGTAAATTTTTCTTATTTGTATCTTTTGTTTTTTTCTTATTAGGCTGTTGCAAATGAGTCTGGACTGAACTTTATATCTGTCAAGGGCCCTGAATTGCTAAATATGGTAAGTCATGGCGTTAACCTTGGTCGTAGATGAGAAGTGAGGGCCACCCCAGTTATGGGTAGAGCATCTCCCGGTCCTGGAAACACCTGTGGCATTTTGGTGACGTCTCCACCACAGAAGTGAAGACATTCGCTTTGTTGTACGAAGTGTGTGTAACTGCTCTCTTAACTAAGTCTCTTCAGCTCCGACCCTCCATTTTTTCTCCTGCAAAATGGAAATAATCAAATAGTTGACATTTTAGGGGTACCTGGGTCTCTCATTCAGTCAAGTGTTCGACTTCTGGCGCAAGTCATGATCACATGTTTTGTGGGTTTGAGCCCCATGTTGGGCTCTGTGCTGACAGCGTGGAGCCTGCTTGGGATTCTCTTTCTCCCCCTGTCTCTGCCCTGTTCTCTCTCTCTCTCTCTCTCAAAATAAACTTTTTTTTAAAAGTTGACATTTTATTTATTTACTTTTTATTATTTTTTTAATGTTTATTTTCGAAACAGAGAGATCATGAGCAGGGGAGGGACGGAGAGAGAGAGGGAGACACAGAATCCAGTCCGGCCTCCAGACTCTGAGCTGCCAGCACAGAGCCCGACGTGGGGCTTGAACCCACGAGCCGTGAGATCATGACCTGAGCCAAAGTCGGACACTCAACCAACTGAGCCACCCAGGTGTCCCTGACATTTTATTTTTAAAAAGTTTTTAAAGATCATTTATTTATTTTGAGAGAGAGCACAGGGAGGGGCAGAGAGAGAATCCTGACAAGATTCGCACTTTAACAGTGTGGGGCTTGAAGTCACAAACCACAAGATCATGACCTGCGCCAAAATGGAGTCAGTTACTTAACTGATTCAGCGACCCAGGTGACATTTTTAAAGTGTATACTCTGTGCTATGTATTCGTCAAGCACTTTACATATATAGTCAGCCCTTGAACAACACAGGTTTAAGCTGCACAGGCCCACCTGTGTGCGGAGGCTTCTTAATAAGTAGTCCTTAATAAGTAGTCCTGTAAGTGTTTTTTCCTTATGATTTTCCTACTAATCTTTTCTTCTATCTAGCTGGCTTGATGGTAAGAATTCACAGTTTGATACATAGAACACAAATACGTGTCAGTTGACTTTATGTTGTCTGTAAGGCTTCCCAAGGTCAACAGCAGGCTATCATATTACTCCCCTATAAGTTTTAGGGGAGCAAAAAGTTACTCTTGAATTTTCATCAGCAGGGTGGGTGGTCAGTACCCTATCCCCTGCTTTGTTCATAGTTGACAGTCCTGTGAGATGCGGATTATTGTTCCCTCTGATTCCTGATTTCCAAATGAGGAAACTCAAGTCTGGAGGAGTCACACACCTTGGCCAAAGTCCAGTGGCCCCGGGGGTGGAGAGCTGAGGTCTGAGTCTGGTCTACGTGATTCCTGTGACTGCCGGCGTGCTTGCCTCATCCTGATGTCCTGGAGTTCAAATGACTTAAGTCTCAATAAGTAAAAGTACTTTGGAGGAAAATGCTACAGTACTATATAGTAATTTCTTTCACCTTCAAGCAATGTATATAATATCTCAAAGTTAAGAGATTCTGAATATTGTATTATCCCTTCATCTTTATGAGAAGTAAAAACGCTGTTCTTTAATGCATTCAAACAAAGAAGTAAAAGTAGTATCATTTGGAGTTGTCCTGGCTGATTCAGTCAGTAGAGCATATGACTCTTGATCTCCAGCTTGTCAGTTTGAGCCCCACATTGGATGTGGAGCGTACTTAAAAAAAAAAAAGAAAGAAAGAAATACTGTTTGTTTCAAAAGGCTTTTTATTTTTTTTTTTATTTTTATTTTTTTTACAAATAGTTTATTGTCAAATTAGTTTCTACATAACACTCAGTGCTCATCCCCAAAGTGCCCTCCTTCATGCCCATCCCCCCCTCCCCCCCACATCCATCAGTCCTCAGTTTTTGTCAGCATTCAAGAGTCTCTCATGGTTTGCCTCTCTCCCTTTCCCCCACCATTTCTGCCCTTCTTCTCCCCCTTGGTCCTCCATCAAGTTCCTCCTAATCCTCCTATACGTGCAAACATATGGTATTTGTCTCAAAAGGCTTTTTAAATGTATCCCCTCTACCAGTTTTTATATGTTCCTATCATATGTGTTACTTTCTTCCCAAAATAAGGATTTATATTTAAGCATTTCCTGTGAGCTTTGTATATACGTCTCTACATTCCTTGTGCTTTATTTTGATTCCTGGCAGAGGAGGTATTAGAAATGAACGTTCAAGGGAGAGGATTGTTGGGGGTGGAGACTGGGATAGACATTTCTCCCAGACAGCAAGGGGCTTTCATCCCCAGTCAGAGCTGGGTATTATCTCCGCAACACCAGAGCCAACAGACGCTGCAGGCAAGAACATAACCTGTCCTTCACGGTCTGAGGAACTGTTCCAGGCACGGAAGAAGTTAGGAAGAGTAATGTATCTGTCACCCAGCAAAGCTCCCTGCAGACCTTCCCTAACCGTGTCCCCCATTCTCTCTCCCACAGAATTTACCGTAATCCTGAATTTGGGCTTTACGTACTTTCTGCTTTTACTACATACGTAGTTATCCTTAAATGACTCATAGTATTATTGTACATGTTTCAAAAATGTTGAATGAGGCAATTGGAAATTTGAACACTAACTGGATAGTTGATATTAAGAAAGTAAATTTTAAGGGATGGGTGAAGCAGGCAATGGGGCTTAGGAGCACATTTACCCGGAGGAGCACGGAGTGGCATGTGGAAGTGTGCAGTCACAAAACATCGAGCAGTCTTGGACACTGGCAGGGCATTTGAAAACCGACTCAGTTCAGCGCCGTTCTGACACTATCAGGACACAACATCCGATTCCACAGGCTGAGGGCTCAGTCCCCCCCACTGCAGACACCAGGCACAGGCCCCAGGCTGTCACCTGTGCTTCTGATGCACTGACTGCAGATTAGAGGTTCCAACAAACTCCTCCTCAGTTTTGATTAATTTGCCAGAGCAGCTTGCAGGACCCAGGGAAACACTGTGTTTACCAGTTTGTTGAAGGACACGATAGAAGAGACAAATCAAGAGCAAAATGAAGAGATATGTAGGGCACAGTCCCAAACTGGAGTCTCATGAGGCTTAGGGCTTGGGGCCTGGTGCTCTGGCTCCCCAGGCATGGAACAACCAAAAGCTGTCCTTGGGTTTCTGTGGAGCCATGATTGGCTGAGACATTGACTTTTGGCTGATTTATTCTCCAGGTCCCTCCCCTGCCTGGAGGTGGGGGTGAGGGGGCACTGAAAGTTCCACCCCTCTAACCATGGGGTTGGCCCTCCTGACAGCCAGCCCCGCCCTCGAGTGGAGTCCAAATTCACCTTTAATAACAAAACCTCTGTTCACTTTTGTGGCTCTGACAGTTTTCAGAAACTGTGGGTAAAGATCAGATACGTCTGGAAAGTACATTTGCTCATCTGAGTAACCAAATATATATTTCTTATAAATCATTATATCGCAGTAATGTTTATCTCTGTTGATGTGTTTACCTCTAGTTCATCAGTTTTTTCTGTGGCATTCTGCTGATTGAACAGAACCACCCTTTAAAAAAATCAGTTTCTTTTGTTCTTTCTTGAGGTTTAGGTTGAACATTACGTCCTTACTGGCATCGGTGGGCTATTTCCCCTGAGGGTTTGTTTTCAGAAGGAGAATTGCTATATCTTCAGGAGTGTGTGCTCCTGAAAGAGAAAGTTTCACCAGCTTTCTCCCCAAGGTGGCTGTTGCTGTTGCACCTCCACCAGCAGTGAGTAGAGGTTCCTGGCGTCCCATATCTGCACCATTTCCATTAATCCACTGACTGTGAGTGCTGGTCTCATTGTGTTCTGACTTGTTTCCTAGGGAAGGTGTGGGAGGAGGTCTGTGGCAGAGTTTCGAATGACGGGGAGAGATGAGGTGATCTGATGAGGAAGATAGACTTCTTGGGCTTAGAAAATGAGTTTGCTATAGGGTGTTTCAGAATCAGGGAGTCCAGAGACTTCTAGCAGATGCAGGGATATGAGCTTGGAGCTCAGGAGATTAGGGGTGGCACCAGAAACCCTGGGAACAGACAGTGGGGCCCCTGACCACTTGTAAGACATCCCTGGGTATGAGGCAAGGACGAGACTTGTCTCATGAGAATGGAGGACACCCAAGACTTTCTAAGCCTGAAAACTCAGGAGGATCAGTTCTTCAGCCTTGTCAGTGTAATTACAGCATACAAGAGACCGAAGGTAGGGCTCTGGGGTAGGCAATTAGAGGGTCATTAACGACTTCAGAGAGGGTGTGTGTTTGTAAAAGCCAGATTTCAAGGTTGAAAACTGAAAGGCAAGTAAGAAGTTAGAAATGATAGCTATAGGATCCTTATTTGAAATATTTCTTCAAGGCCAAGATAGTAGGATTTTCTTTTGTTTGCTTATTTTTAATCACTGTCACTTTTGTTAAGATTGATTTTTTTTAATGTTTTATTTATTTCTGAGAGAGAGAGAGAGAGAGAGAGACAGTGTGAGCAGGGGAGGGTCAGAGAGAGAGGGAGATACAGAATCTGAAACAGGCTCCAGGCTCTGAGCTGAGATCATGACCTGAGCCGAAGTCAGACGCTTAACCAGCTGAGCCACCCAGGCGCCCCAGCTAAGATTGATTTTTAATCTGTCCTATTGAAACTGTAGGTTTACCTTCCCCTAAATTAGCTTTCCCTTTGCTTGGCCCTTTGCTCTAGCCACAGTGTGTTTGCCAGCAGTGTTGATCATTCCCGTCGGCCTTGGTTTGAGACTTTACTTCTCCCAGCTCACTGTTACTTTTTTCTTTTAAAATATCTGACGGGGCGCCTGGGTGGCTTAGTCGGTTAAGCATCCAACTTTCGCTTGGGTCATGATCTCGTGGTTTGTGGGTTCAAGCCCCGCATCGGGCTCTGTGCTGACTGCCAGCTCAGAGCCTGGAGCCTATTTCAGAGTCTGTATCTCCCTCTCTCTCTGACCCTCCCCTGCTCACGCTGTCTCTCTGTCTCTCTCTCCTAGAAATAAATAAAAAATCTTAAAAAAATAATAAAATAAAATATCTGAGTATTTTGGTCCAGTATTCTATAATTTTTGCCAACTTCCATTCTTTAGGAAACTGAACCAGTCTACTGTATTTATATACCACACGAGATGTTAAGATCAAGGCCGTGACTTCTGCTTTCCAAGGACTTTCTAGACCAGCTGGGAGTCACAGGAGCAGGGGATGCCGTGAGGGCAGAGGGGGGAGAATAATAGGAGGAAAGTCGGGACTTCTCGAATACAAGGAGAAGTGGAGGCAGGTTGGAAGACAGATCAAGTAAGGGAAGCACCTTGAGCAAAAGTACCAAGAAAAGACAGGACAGATGTGAGGGCAGGAAACTCTTCCATCCCTGTCGTCCGTGGCGTGCACTTTCTGCCTGCATTGCTTTATCACAGCCGCAGGGTCACGAGAGCTCAACAAACACCGGCAGTGAGGTCGGCACTGGAAAGAGTTTGCACTGTCCTGTTTAACAGTTTGAGTGTGAGAAAAACGTGCTTAGTTTGCTAGCTTGAAATGTTACGAGAACAGTCTCTTAGACCTCACTAACAGCGAGATCATGTTCTTACATGTGGGTCTCTGCATTGACTCATCCTAATGTTATAGGTGCTTATGAATTACTGTGTTTCTTGACAGATCTTACTGTTTTACATTTTGACTTAGATTTTGCAGTACGGTTGTCTCATGAAGCCTTTTCCTCACTGGCTCACTTTGCCTTCTGAGATGCCAAGTGACAAGTAGCTCTTCTGTTAGCAACTTGACCCACGTGTAAATGAGCAGGAAATGGCAGTATAGCACTGTTGAAATAATGACAATTACTGCTGGGTGTTTTATATGCATGCAGCTTAGGAGATCAGTTGTTTTTTTGTTTTTTTTGTTTTTTAAGTTTATTCATTTATTTTTATAGAGAGAGTGAGCCAGGGAAGGAAAGAGAGAGGGAGAGAGAAAGAATCCCAAGCAGGCTTCTCTGCACTGTCAGCACAGAGCTTGACGCGGGTCTCAGTCTCAACAAACCTTGAGATCATGACCTGAGCTAAGATCAGCAGATGGTCACTCAAACCTCCTGAGCCAGCCAGGTGCCCCTTAGGAGATCAGTTCCAAAGAACAGTGTAGAATTATGGGATTGTTTTTGACCTGGAGAAGACCTTACATTCACTTTGTCTTTGTTTTAGAAATGAGGAAATCTATAGGCTTTAATAATAGGTGATTTTAGGGGAGCCTGGGTGGCTTAGTCGGTTGAGCATCCGACTTCGGCTCAGGTCATGATCTCACGGTTCATGGGTTTGAGCCCTGCGTTGGGCTCTGTGCTGACAGCTAGCTCAGAGCCTGGAGCCTGTTTCGATTCTGTATCTCCCTTTCTCTCTGACCTTCCCTGCTTGCGCTGTCTCTTTCTCTCAGAAATAAAGAAAACATTAAAAAAAAAATAGGTGATTTTATTAAGTTGAACCACATACGCTTGGCTGTTTTACTGAATCAGAAATGGTTATATATCAGCAGTTCCATGCAGGTCGACCTAGTACTTTTGGACTCTGATATTTAAATGTTCTTTAAAACTAATTTTACTGTAATTTGGCCCAAAATTCCAAAGTTGAATGGTCTTTGCATTTTATTTCTGTGTGTGTTCAGTATGTTGGTGAGAGCGAACGTGCAGTACGACAAGTGTTCCAGCGAGCCAAGAACTCTGCGCCCTGTGTCATATTCTTCGATGAAGTGGATGCCCTGTGCCCTCGAAGGTCAGACCGAGAGGTAGGCGTATGTGCCGTAAGCCTTTTATAAGTTCTTATCAAGTCATTTCCTGAGAACACTAAGGTTCTTTAAGTGAAGAAACCTGGTAAATTGGAATGAGGGCCTAGACATAACAGTTGTATTGTTATTGGCCCCCATATCCATTTGTGTCATTTTGGTGGCACCCTTGTGACTCACAGGGGGAGCAGCTGGAGACCACAGTGATGTGGCTCTGAATAGCTTGCCTCGTAATCTTGATCCTCATTCGGTGACTGGGCTCGTGAGGACCAAGAAAATGTGACTCGCAATTACACTCACTCAGAATACAGTCAGGCAGTGCGCTTTCTGACTTCGCACAGTTCTTGTCTGGGGAGGACAGGAATTGGGCCTGCATTGCACTCTGCCTGCACGAGTCCTCAGGGTCGCTGGTCACAGGAATGTCAGCACAGCCAGGGCTCGGAAGCAGTTGTTATCAGAAGGGCCTTGTCCCAGAGTCCACTGGTGTAAAGAGCACATGACCTTCTGGAAACCGATACGAAGACTATCTAGTGACTAAGGAGGTGATTATATTTCTCTTGTGATTATCTTTAAATAGTTATTCTGCGTGTATCCTTAGGCTATAAAACATTTATTAAATGCCTCATTTCACTTAGAGTCTCCAGGAACATTCCAAAGTCTCAAGAACAATACTTGACTAAGATGAGTGTGATTCATGTCGCAGTGATTTTGTTTCCTCATCCAGTAGTCATCAGTAGCATCCCAGAAAATCCTTCAGGTCTTATCTCTGAGGGTGAGGTCAGTGGCCACGCAGTGGTCCTTTCCGGGTCATCCCACTGGCTGGCAAATCCTGGAATCTGGTATGGGATCCAGAGCAGAGCACTGCCTTTTCTGTCCAGCGGTTTGGAGCGTGGTGTGCTCTGGAGTTTACTCCTTTCTATCTCCTTGTCTTTGGCCTTGGATAAGCCCTTCATTTGTCTACAGCCCCTGTGTTGGTTTCTAGTAGCCTGTTACTGGCTGGTCATTTAACTTTGGAGAGGTGTGGTGAGGTGTGGCCGGTCGGCCTCTTGCTGCAGAGAAGTGTGCGGCCACACAAAGCACGCTGTGACGTCTGGGTTCTCACTGGTTCTTGGATGTTTACTAACACGTGTTTCTATTTTCTGGTACCTGTGTTCTTCTCTTTGTACATTTTCACCTGAAGGGGATTTTGAAGGAGGGAAATAGGGAGAAATATGGGAATACGTGTTTATTTTTTTTAGCATACGAGTTTTGCATGGACACAGACTTGTGACAAAATTCAAATAAATGCCAGTGGTAATAGTTCAAGAGTCTTTCCTCCCATTTTCCCCCCATTCCTCTCCTTGGAGGTTATTACTGCTAAGTTTCATGTGTAGTATTTGTTACTCTACAACTTCCTCCATATTATCTTAAAAACATGTATAGTTTAGAGTTTTATATAAATGCAGTCATGCATTTTGATGATGTTCCCATGTAATTTTTAAACTATTACATAAATATTCCAATATTCCACAGTCTGGAAATAGAAGGATTTCTTTAATAATTCCCTGTTCTGGACATTCACATTGTTTCTAATTGTTTCTCTTACAAACAGAACTGAAATAATATTCTAATCACATACTATTGTGCACATGTATGTAGATCTATACATACTGGTTTTCAAGCTAACATTAAATTATCCTTCACAAAAAATACCAGTTACATATGCCTGCCAGCAGTATCGTCAGCAATAGGTAATACCCATCTTTTAATTTTTTGGCAATTTTATTGTCAAACATGATATTAAATCTTAGTATTCATCTCCTTGATTATCAGTGAGGTTGATTGTCTTCAGTCAATTTGTATTTCACCATCTATAAATTATCTGATCAGATACTTTGACCCTTTTGCTATTAAAACTTCTTTTTTATTTATAGGAGTTTTTATGTGTGCTAGAAATTAATCCATTGTCCAATTATGTGTGCTGGTACCGTTTTCCCTAGTCTTCTCATTTACCTTTAATTTTTTTTTTATTACATACAATGTTATAATTTTATTAGAGTAAAACCTGCCTTCATGTTCCTGTGCTGATTCTGAGGATTTTGTCTGGTGTAGGTAGGACAGTGTTTGATTGGTGTCTGGAGCTGCTGGTACTGTTCTGAGTCGCGATAGTCACTGTGTTCGTCTCCTGACGTATTAGCTTTATGTCTCCAAAGAGTGGTGATGTGCACTATTTCTTTTCTAGAGAACTCGTTACCGCCTCTGTGTTTCTCTGTCTTTCCCTCTCTCCCTCTCTCTGCCTCTCTCTCTCTCTCTCTCTCTCTCTCTCTCTCTCTCACACACACACACACACACACACACACACACAGCACTACTTTCCTCCATGTGCCTTTAAAACATTTCTGTATTCAAATGAGTTACCCCTGTGTCCACCACCACCCCGGACCTTTCTCGTGGATGTTGCTATAGCTCTGCTTTGTACTGTGTGCCTTGGGGAATAAGTCTCGTGTCCCAGCCCAAAGATCTGGAACATCTCACATCCTGGGAGCTCTCATCAGACTGAGTCCACATTTGGGTCTGGAGTTCTCTCTTGTCTAGCAAGAGAGCATGACACAGGATTGAAAATGCAAGAGAGGCTAATATCCAGGAGGGGACAAGAGCCCCAAGGAAAGGTCCTTGCTCCATGTTTTGTTAGGACCAGAAGGCTTACAAGCATGATGGACGTGCAGAAAGAGACCATGAAACACCGAACATTAACTCATAGGCGTGGGGGAAAGAGGGTTTTAAAGATATGTGGTTTTAGGGGTTTGGGCCAGTACAAAACAGAATCCTGGAGCTGGGCAGATGGTTGTTTAGAGCAGACGTGGGGGCCCACCTCTGTGTACCTAAACTGGCCTAGGGAACAAGAAAGACAGAGCATGCTACCTCAGGATCAACAAGGCCCCTTTCTTGCTGATTAGGTCCACTCTGAGCAACTTCACCCTGCTCTGGTCCAAAGTCCTGCTTACCTGTTTGCCTATTTTGGTCCTTCCTTGCTGTAAAGCAGCTTTCTGCCGTTGTATGAATTTGGGGGTACTTCTGCCCTGAATACCTAATCTTGTTTACTTCATCTTGGATGTTCTCATCCTAAGATTCCCTGTGTCTATATCTTTGTCCTATACTGGAGGCCTTTGCCCTATTTATCTCATCTTGTTTACCTAATCCTCTTCACCCAAACTTGGGTGTGTTCATCCTGTGGCTTTCTAATTCTTTATGCCTTATTAACCCATTGGGGTGCAAGCTCAGGGAATTCCTAATTATTCCCCACAGCCATTAGATCTTTTCTTTTTAAGTTTAATTATTTATTTTTAGAGAGAATGCGTCTGTGCACGAGGAGGTGGGCAGAGAGGGAGGGAGGGAGAATCCCAAGCAACCTCCATGCTGTCAGTGCAGAGCCCAGCATGGGGCTCGATCCCACAACCATGAGATCATGACCTGAGCTGAAACCAAGAGTCAGACGCTCAATCGACTGAGCTCCCCCCACCCCCACCCCGGGTCCCGCAGCCATTGGATCTTTGAGTAACTTGGAGGCACGAGACTTAGGTCAGCCAGGTGTGCCCTTGTCTGGCTTTGAGGCTGGGACACATATACCCTCTGAGCTCCAGCTTCCTCAATGCAACAGCAGATAACATGATTCTGGGGACTTCCCAGCCCTGTGTTGCACAGTGCCTGGATGTAGTGACCGCTCAGAAAATAATCGCTGTCACCTCTTGAGAGAAGCTTTCATTCGGGTTAGCAAGTATGTTATTTTGTATGGTAAAGAATGATGATGTGTTTTTCTTTTCATTGGAGACTGACGGAGCTGTGTTTATTTCCTTTTAGACGGGGGCAAGTGTGCGGGTGGTGAATCAGCTGCTCACCGAGATGGATGGGCTGGAGGCACGGCAGCAGGTTTTTATCATGGCGGCCACCAACCGGCCAGGTAGGGGGTGCTTCCCACGACTGTCGGGGTTCCAGAACACCGAGATTTACATTCATCCCAGTAGAGAAGTGCTGTGTGAGCCTGTGTAATCGGGACGCAGGGGACCAGAGCCCCTGTTGGCGGGGGAGTGGAGGAGGGGGGGACACACCAGCTGTGGCTGCTGGCCACGCACAAAGTCAAAGGCAGAGAAAGGAGTCCTGGTAACAGAGGAAACGAACTTATTTCCGCGAGGCCAACACCAGGGATGAGGAGGGAGCGCAAGGCAGGCCAACAGCACCACCGAGCCACCCCCCCGCCCCCACCAAGGTGGATGTGTGTGACATTCCTCAGGCCCTCCTGGCTGCCCAAGGACTGGGCAAAAGACAGAAGACAAATGGTTAACTGATAGAGTCTCCATCAGTTTACAAATATCTTAAGAATATTACAAGAAAAAGGCAGTCTTATCAATAGCCTAATCTCCAGGAACTCCCTACTGTCTTAATGATAATACTCTGTTGGAGGGAAAAATAACCTTAGCTTGACAGTTGCTGGGCCTCCAGGATCCCGGGAGCCTTTGTTAGCATATGAAAGTCCCACTGGAAACTTCCCCTGGACTTAACGCCCCAACTCCACAGTATATAACCAGTCACTCTGCACAACCCCAGTGCAGCTCTTCCTGCCCACAGGTCCTGTCCCCGGGCTTTAATAAAATCACCCGTTTTGCACCAAAGACGTCTTCAAGAATTCTTACTTGGCTGTCAGCTCCAAAGCCCCACCATCCCTCCAAAACCCCATCGGGGAGATGGTGGGCTAGCATCTCAAAGACTGTCCTCAAAGTGCTGAACAAAGATCCAGGTTCAAAAAGGAAAGTGTGGGACAAAGGTCATTGGGCAGTGACAGGTTGATCATTGTCTTGGGGTCAATCATGGGTGGGGTCTTGCTGGCTCAGGGCAGTCCCTGTTGCTTCAGGGGACAGTTTCAGTTCCGCTTTGGGGATGTTTTGCCTACTGGGTGTTTGCCTGAGTTAAGAGATTTGGAAATAAGAACTTAATTAGAAAGTAGAGACTGACGCCCTCATGTACATGCTTTTCCTTTCTCTCTCTCTCTCTCTCTCTCTCTCTCTCTCTCTCTCTCCCCCCCTCTTGCTGTCTTTCTCTGCTTTCCTGTGGGTCACTTGAACATATTTTAGAATTTCATTTTGATTTACCTATTATTTTTGAGTGTATCTCTTTGTAGAGTATTTTTTTGTGGATGAGGCAAGTGTGGAACTGTATACATGTAGCTTCTCGGTGTTCCCTGATGTCAACATTTCTTTTACCAGTTCCATTGAGGGGTACATGCACTGCCTCCCTTTGAGTTTCTGCACCAGCCCTATTCAGGACTGTTCTTGGTGTCCCTTCTCCGCTGTTTCAGAACCTCCTCAGACAGCCTTGTTATTTTTGCCTCAGCTGTCAGATAAAATTTTTTTGAAGTTTACTTATTTATTTCTTTTGAGAGAGACAGAGACAGTGTGAGTGGGGGGAGGGACAGATGGTGGGGGGAGGGGAGGGGGGGAGAGAGAGAATCCCAAGCAGACTCCAAACTGTCAGCACAGAGCCCAACGTGGGGCTAGAACTCATGAACCATGAGTCAGACGCTTAACTGAGTGAGCCACCCAGGCGCCCCCTGTCAAATAAAATTTTAAAACTCAAGCAGGTGGAAAAGGAAGCCTTATTGTATTCTCCAATTTTTACTCTTCCCATAGTTTTTTCTTTTCTGATGTTCCTAATTTTTTTCTATCATTTCCTTTTTGTTTTAGAAATTCCCTTTAGTTATTCTTTGAGAGAGAGAGAAACGCAGAATCCAAAGCAGGCTCCTGGCTCTGAGCTGTCAGCACAGAGCCTGACAGAGGGCTCAAAGTCACAAACCGTGAGATCATCACCTGAGCCAAAGTCGGCTGCTTAACCGAAAGTTTATTCATTTAGAGAGAGAGAGGGAGCCAGAGAGGGAAAGCATGATCAGAGAGAGAGGGAGAGAGGGGGTGGGGGGAGGGAGAGAGAGAAAGAGAGAAAGAATCCCAAGGAGACTCCATGCTGTCAGCACAAAACCTGACATAAGTCTCGATCCCACAAACGGTGAGATCGTAACTTGAGCCAAAATAATGCTTAACCCACTGAGCCCCCCAGGCACCCCTTTCCTATTTTCCATTTCTGTTGTCATTTTTTTCCCGTAACTTATGAGGTGCTGTTTTCTACAAAGCAAGGGAAAGAATTGTTCTGTCCCCATCCCTGCTCGCTGCTCTGGAGACCTGTTATGTCCCTTGTGTGATGTGTGGTACACCAGAGTTCATCCCCAGTCCTGGAAATAATCCACTTTCCCGTGCTCAGCCCCAGGAGATGAAGGTCCTTGGACAAAATCCATTAAGACCACAGATGCCCTAATTGTCATCTCTGCACACATGTCCATGCTTCTTCCAGTACCAGCTCCTGTAAAGAATGTTCTCAGTGAGGAACTGTCTGTGCCTACTGACCCCTCTGTGCCGCTGGTTAAAAATACTCCTGTGGATGCATACAAACCCAGTAGCCACACCAACTGGTTAGGGTCTCTTCTGTCTAATGGGTGTCTGGTCCCTATAGTAGCAACACGGTATCCAAGAAGAGTTTCTGCTCTCTATAGCTCTATTGAAAAATTAAATCTGTATTATGATGTATAAACTTCTGGACAAGACTTAGGTCTGCATGGGGCGCCTGGGTGGCTTAGTCGGTTGGGCGTCCGGCTTTCGCTTAGGTCGTGATCTCGCGGTTCGTGGGTTCGGGCCCCGCGTCGGGCTCTGTGCTGACTGCCAGCTCGGAGCCTGGAGCCTGTTTTGGTCTGTGGCTCCCTCTCCCTCTGGCCCTCCCCTGCTCGCGCTGTCTTTCTCTCTCTCTCCTAGAAATAAATAAAAATCTTTAAAAAAAAAAAAAAAAAAGAATTAGACTGCAGTTTCATTTTTGTATTTTTTTTCTGTTTTTTTTTAATGTTTTATTTATTTCTAGGAGAGAGAGAGAGAGACGGCGTGAGCAGGGGAGGGTCAGAGAGAGAGGGAGTCACAGACTCTGAAANTTGGCTCTCTTCATTTGTTAGCCATGAGCCAGTGAAGGAGGCAGGGGAGCTGGAGAAACCACACAGTAATCTTTTAGCTAATTCAGAAATCTGGGCTCCAGAAGGTTACCTCTGGAAATCTGGGCCCTCATCCTTGAGAACAAGTGATTTTAATGCTTATTTATTTATTTTTGAGAGAGAGAGAGAAAGCACAAGCAGGTGAGGGGTAGAGAGAGAGGGAGACACAGAATCCGAAACAGGCTCCAGGCTCTGAGCTGGCAGTCAGCACAGAGCCCGGCGCGGGGCTCGAACCCACGAACCGCGAGATCATGACCTAAGTGAAAGTCGGACGCTCAACCGACTAAGCCACCCAGGCGCCCCGAGGTCTCCAGTTTCATTTTTGAGAGAAAGCTTCTAGTTTAGAGTCTATCCATTGTAAGCCCTTAGTAGTTGTCAGGTGACACGGTGGGTGGTGACAGAGAAGAGACTTTTTTCCATTACAGTAAGATATTCAGCCCCTTAAAGTTCCAAGTAAAATCTTCCCTTACGTATCTAGTCTGGCCCTGGATCGTCATCGAGTTCTCCTTGAAGGCACTTGTGCAGTGACTTAGTGCCATTGTCAAACGCTTTGGCACGATACTTCCCTTGCGAAAGTAACTTAGGCCCTGGCATCACTTCTGCTGATTTACGGGAACCCGTATATAATAGAACTCGGTAGGTGTATCGTGAATTGTGAGAAGAGACCTATTTCTGTTGTGAGTGAAGGTTGTCTGATCTTGCAGTAATTTTCACTAGACCTACTATTGATGGTCTCGTTAGTCTGAGGATGGATTCATGTGTCCAGTTTCTAAGAAAATCGGCTTTATCAAGATCATAGTATACCATAAACTTTACCCATTTTAAGTACAAGATTCAGTGGTTTTGAGTGTATTAACAGACTTGTGCAGCCATCCCAACAGTCTGATTTGAGAACACTTCTGTCACCCTCAAGACAGATCTGTGTGTGTTAGCTGCCCCTCCCCATCTGTCCCCCTCCCCAGGCTTCCCGCTTCTGTGTTTAAGTGGAGTCACACATGCAGGTTGTGGGGTCTGCCCTCTCACACTAGGCGTCATGTGTTCAAAGCGCATCCGTGTGGCAGTGGCAGCCCTCCATTCCTTGTTACTGCCAGATGACGTTCTGTCATGAGGACATACAGCATTTCACCCATTCACCAGCTAATGGACATTTAGGTCATGCCCACTTTAGGGCTGTTGTGAACATCTGCCTATAGGGTTTTGTGTGGACAGATATTGTATTTTCTTGGGGGTACACACCGAGGAGTGGGGCTGCTGTGGGCCGCATGGTAACTCTGTGTTTAACACTTTAGGAAATAGCCAGACTTTTCCAGAGTGGCCCAGCATTTTCTGTTCTGCTGATAATTGTAACAAAACTAAGTGTGGGAGTTTAGATTTCTCCACACCCTCAACTCTTGTTACAACCTTTCTATTTGATTACAGCCATTCCAATGGGTGTGAGGTAGCATCCTACCGTAGTGTCTTCTTTCGAGAAATACCTGTTTGAATCCTTCACCAATTTTTTTAGTTGGGTCAGTGCTTTGTCATTGAGCAATAAGAATGATTTATTCCAGATACAGATCCATAGCCAGGTGTGTGATTTGCATGGATCTTCTCCCAGTCTGTGGGCTGTTTTTTCACTTTCTTGATGGTACAGTTTGAAGAACAAAAGTTTTAAATTTTGGTAAAGTCCAATTTATCAATTTTTTAAATCACATGCACTTTTGTCATCCTATCTTAAAAACTCATTGCCTAATGCAGGGTCACAAAGATTAACCCCCGTGTGTGGTAGTAGTTTTATGTTTTCAGTGCTCACACTTCAGTCCTAGATTCATATTGAGTTAATGTCTGTGCACTCCGAGGAAGGGCTCCCGATTCACCCTTTTGCATGTGAACTCCACTCGCCTCAGCACCGGCTGTGGCGTCTTCTCCCCATTGAATTGTCAGGGCACCTCTGTTGAAAATTGAGGGTCCGTTTGTAACAAGATGGAGTTTTTTCTAAAGTTGGAAGACACTGCCTTTAGCTCTTAAATTTTAGCTTTTTTTGCTAGAAAGAGCAATGGAAGAGCAGTGCTTCCTCACCAGCGGGTGGGAGGGAGGGCTTGTCATGCATCCACCTTGTTTGCGAGTGAACAGATTTTGTCTTTAACATGGTGGGATTTGGGGTGACTTTTTTATCGTAAACGTGAGAAGTGTTATCCTGACTCTGAAGACTTCGGCTCTGCCACATCTAGGTGGGGAGCCACTCAGCAAGCTGGAACAGCTCTCACCAGCTCGTGGTGGTGTGGGGATGTGTCATCAGTTGACAGGACCTGTCAGGGGATTCACTGTGGATGATGTCAGTGAGTGAAGCCCGGCCACGCCTCCAGGCTCAGCTGGAAAGACCAGAAGGATGACCTAGCCTCAACCAAGGAGGGAGAGTGGGAGAAGATCAGGGCCTGTGTGAACTGTGTCACGTCTAAGATGACTGTCTGTCAGGGAGGTGTCAGGTATACGCCTGCTTCCCACTTTCTACAACACCTGTCCCTTGCATTCTTTCCCTTTAATATTTACCGTCTTCTAAAGTGTAAGAAGCTGATTAGTACCTACAAGTTCTAGATGTACAGCACTGGATTTTCTTTGAGAAATGGTGTAATACATAGAATTTTGGAAAAGTTTTTGATAGAGCAGTAGTTTGCCATCCCATAGTAAAATCTATATAAAAGTGCTTGGTGCGGGGGCCTGCAACTCAATCTTGAGGTCATGAGTTTGAGCCCCATGTTGGGTATAGAGATTACTTAAAAAGCAAATAAAATTTTTTTAAAAAATAATAAAAGTAAAAAAAAATAAAGGACTCAGGGTGCTTTTTACTCTAAATGAAATAAATGAATAATTCCTTAAAATAATAAACTAATAAGTAAACTTTAATAAAGTAAATATGGTGCTTGTCAGAGATATTAAATGATTATAAAATTCCCAAACTAAGAATGATTTCTAATTATAATTGGGATTGTTTACATCAGGCTTCATTTTTGAGTATGTGGCTCTGGCTTTAATATCTACTTGTATATATAAGTTAAAAGATGTTTCCACATTTGGTATTGGCATAGACACAGACTTACAGATCATTGAAACATGATAGGACCTAAAAATATTCCCCCATGTATCTAGATAATTGCTTTTTGGGGTTTTGTTGTTGTTTTGTTTGTTTTTTCTTACAACAAAAAGCTTTGTTTCTATTTGGTGTGTGGCTTGGGAGCAGGTTCCAGGGTGTTGAAGAGCTGCCTGATGGCTATAGGGAGGGGCATAGGCACTAGCCCTGGCACGTGGGGGCTGCCGGAGGGGCCCCTCACAGGCTGCTGGGCTCCAGAGACTCCTAGGGGTGCTGGAGGGTGAGCCTGCCCAGCCTGGGTGTGGGGGGAGACAGCTGGCCGCAGAGATGAGTCAGGGGGTTGCCCATCTTCCTGATGCATTTCACCTCCGTCTGGGAAGTGCTTCTCCAGGAAGTCACAGCGCCAGGGGTCTGTGCGGGCAAGACCCAGGGCCTGGTCCAGAAGCAGGGCGGCTTCCATGATGTCCAGGCTTTTACCCCCTCATCCTGGCATGGCTTCTGCATGTCCTGGAAGAGGACGCGGCCACCACGCTGGTTTGTGCCTTCAGGAGATGCTCCACGGCTATGGCTTCTCAGCTAACTCACCTGGTCCACAGCCTCCAGAGCCATATCTTCTCGGTGGAAATAGAAGCCCAGAGAGAGGGAAGGATAGGAGACCCACAGGTGCATGTGGACCAGGCAGTTGACTGCAGCTTCCACCTTGGAATAATTCTGACAAAGCTAGGAGCTTGTAGATGATCAGAATGAGGAGCTAAGTTCAGAATAGGGTGTTGGCTGGGCCTGGAGGCAGAGGGTCTGGATAATTGGCTTTTAAGAACACTAAGGCCATGCAGTAGAGAAAGAATAGCATTTTAAACAAATAGTGCTGGGACAGTTAGATATGCAGGAAAAATAACCTATATCCTAGTAGGAGCCACATGAAAAAATTAACCCAAAGTGAATCAAAGACCAGTGAAAAGTCACATCTGTAAAACTGGAAGAAAACAGAGGAGAATTCTGCGTTTTCTACCTTGGACTAAGCAAAGATCTTTTAAGTGTGACATCAAAAGCACAATGTTTTAGAGCAAAAGGATAAATTGAACTGCTCTTCACAAGTACACGCTGCACAGACATAGAGGAAACATTTACAGAGCATGTCTCTGTTGAAGGATTGATATCTGCAACATATGATGGATTCTCAAAACTCAGCAAAAGAAAACATGAAAAATTGGCTAAAGACTGCACAGGCGTTTACTGTAGTAGGGACCTGCCAGCAGATAAACATGAGAATGTGCTCGACATCTAATCGTCAGGGAGATGCAGGTGAAGGCCACCATGAGAGACCACTGCAAACCCTACATTAACCAGGGGCTCCTGTGAGGCTCGGTGGGTTGAGTGTCCAACTCTTGATTTGGGCTCAAGTCATGATCTCATAGTCGTCGGATTGAGCCCCACGTCGGGCTGTGTGCTGGGCAGGAGCCTGTTTGAGAATATCTCCCTCTGTCCCTCCCTTACTCATGCTCAACTTTCTAAAATAAAAAAAGAACTAAAATTAGAAAGACTGTACCAAGTATTGGCAGTTATAGGGGATGTAACATGGCAAAACTAGTTTGGAAAACACTGTCAGATTCTTTAAGGCCAGCACAGCCCACAGTGTGATATAGCCACACGCCGAGGGACTCACCAGAGAGAAAGGAAAACTCACGCAAACACGTGTCTATGCATGCTTATGGTGGCTTGTGTGTAGTGGGCCAGAACTGGAAACCACATGCTCATCAACAGAAGAATGAACACTTCTTTCCATTCTGAAATTGAGGCGTATCCATACTGTGGAATACTGCCTGGCAGTACAGACAGGATACGTACTAGCACACACAAGAACTTAGGTGAATGTGGATAATTGTGTCAAGTAAAAGAAAGAGCCTGTAACACATTGCACTTATATGGGGTCAGGGAAGAACAGGAAAGAAAGGTCACAATGGGGTCCTCCATAAGTTTTTAGACGGCAAAGTTTTCCTGAATGTGTGGGGCCCTTTGGCCTGTAACGTAAGATGGTGCCCAGACACGTGGGGCAGTGCTCAATCACAATGCTGTGCGCATTGTGCAGTAATTTCTCTTTTCCCTCATTTCTGAGGGGTTTATCTTGGCATCTCAAGAGAAAGCCCAGTAATTTGTTGAACATTGAAAAATCACTGAATTAAGTATTTAACTTCCCCAAGGTAACTGAAGAACAAAACTAAACAAAATCAGAATTTTAGCTGTAAAGAACTCTACCTCTTTATGGAAGAGTAAATTAATGGTTAGCTCTCAATGACTCAGGGAAGGCTTCCTGGAGGAGGCATTGTTTGAGAATACCAACAGTGTAAATGAGGAATAATGTATTTCAGAGGAAGGAACCACTGAGAGCAAAGAGAAGGAAACTTGAGGCTTCAGGTTGTTTCAGGAACAGCAAGAGGTCTGGTCAGTGGGGTGTGGGAGTCGAGAATGTGAGAGAGGGTACGGTCAGGCCTGGAGGGCTCTCCTGCTATGGTGACAGATGTGGGCTGGTTCTGCAGGGGTCCCAGAGTGGGGAAGTTCACACACAGGACCAGTTGGGAGCCACCTCAACCCTGACTGAGGGCAGGGATAGGGGAGGCTCACCTGACCAAACTGGGAGAAAGTGCCGGTCAGAGGGGAGAGAGGTCTGGCACCAAGTGGGTTTGGGCAGGAAGGTAGGTGGATTTTTCTTAAGGATATACTTTGATGAGCAGGAGCTTTTAATTTTAATAAAGTCCAGTTTATCAATTTTTTTCTTTTCAATAAAGTACTCTTCTCACCTCTCACGTTAATTGTATTTTTTTAAAGATTCCGTTTTATGAAGTCTTTGACCCTCCATTCTTCTCCAGATATCATTGACCCTGCGATCCTGCGCCCAGGCCGCCTGGACAAAACACTTTTTGTGGGTTTGCCGCCCCCAGCAGATCGTCTGGCCATCCTGAAAACCATCACCAAAGTGAGTAAAGGAAATGGTGTATTTTGGGTGTGTTTGTCTCATTGCAGATACAGACCAATGTCTGTAGCTTTCAATATTTGCTCAGTTTGTGTCTGCCAAAGACAGATTTTGATCATTGAAGAGACTGCATTCTTTTTGATTTGCTTAAAATGAAAGGGATATTTAGAGTTAAGTGTTCAACTGATATACGAGATTTTACTCTGATCATATTGTTTTGTTCTTTTAGGTCTTTTGATTTTTACTTTAGAGAAATTGTCTTTAGAGGGATTTGAAATGGACTAGAAACTTTTGGAGCTTAACAGTAAATACAGGCCCATTACCAAACATCCAGAGAAAAACAGTTTCAGAACCACAGTGTTGAGTCTGTCTGTCTTCCATGCTTATGTGCACCAACTTTTTCCCTTTTTCTTCTTCTTTTTTTAATGCTTATTTTTGAGAGAGCAATAGAGTGCAAGCAGGGTAGGGTCAGAGAGAAAGGGAGACGCAGAATCTGAAACAAGCTCCAGGCTCTGAGCTGTCAGCACAGAGCCCAAAGAGGGGTTCAGACTCATGAATTGAGAGATCATGACCTGAGCTGAAGTCGGACGCTTAACCAACTGAGCTACCCAGGTGCCCCTTTTCTGTTTTTGTGAGTCTTTTTCTGCAAAATGACTTGCAGATATTGATTCTATAAAGATGTCTGATGCCACTCTGCTCTTTCTTTCCCCCTGGTGGATGACCTGCTTTTTCTGCTTAGTCTCCACCTGTGAAGCTGAGTAGGCGCGGTGGGTCCTTCACTTGCAGTCTGCAGGCTGTGGGTCATGTTCCGGGTGGAGAGTGCTAAAGCTGCTGCAGGCAGGGGCTGTGTCGGCTGTCTGCATACCTCTGATTCCTGTGCCGGGCTTCCTTCTCTGAGGTGCCCGATTTCCACTCTGTCTCTTTTATCATTTGTCTTGTGCTTTGACTTCTGTCTTTTCCTTTGTATTCACTGTGCCGAGCTTCAGGGTCCCCTGACTCTCTCCATCATCCCTTCTTTCTGCCTCACTTCCCTCCCTTCTTCCGCTGCCGGGGGGGCCCCCCTCCCCCGCCTTGTCCCAGTAGGGAGGCAGGCTTCAGCCACCACCCCTGCTCCCCTGCTGGGGGCCCCTTCCCTCTCTGCCAGGGGTCAGTGCTCCCATTTGCCTTGTAGCCATGTTCTTGCAGCCTGGGGCAGGGGAAGGAGCTGAGCCTGCACAAGTTCAACCTCATGAGGACGCCTGAGCATGCTCTATCCTGGAGGTGACCTATGTGGTGACCTGGATCTGTCCCATCCACCCAGAGCTTGGCTCATCCCCAGGGTTGTGCTCCCAGTGCCCCAGGGCTTCCTGGGGGAAGGATGCCCCCCCCCCCATTGGCAGTGGGAGACTCTGGGCCATCGTTCCTTCCAGCTGCCTCCTGACAGAGGAGCGAGGGCAGCTATGTGGGTTGAGGCCCCCACTGACAGCAGTCTGGAAGACTCCTCAGAGGAAGGGGAGGTGAAGGCTGTGCAGTGAAGTGCACCAGAACCAGGCCGTGTCGGGGCGCAGCAAAGAGGCCGTGGAGAACCGTGTCCAGGTTCAGTAGGACGCTGGGCTAACCATAGAGTCGAGGGGCAGAGACCGAGGAGGATAAACTCTCCTCTTGGACCGCTGAATAGATGAGGGTCCGGGGACAAGGAGCTGATGCTGCTGGAGCTTCTGGTACCCGGGTGTTACCCAGGCAGGAGTCGGCTCGGAGCTCGGGAGTTCCCGAGAGCCCTCGGGCTGCCAGCCGCACGTGGCTGCAGTTTAGAGACATGAAGACACATTGCTTTGGTCTAGCTGCTCTCGACCCACCCAGCCACCCCTGGACAGCATCTGGGGACAATTATGTAGGGCTGTGGCTGGGGGTGATGGTGCTGCTGGACCACCTGCAGAGCACAACACGAATTATCCGACTCAAAGTATGCGGGGTGCTGGAGCCAAGAGACCCTGCTACAGTTGTATGTCCCTGAGTCTTTGTACCCGGCAAGTGTGGTGATGAGCCCGTGGTCCTTCTCTCCCTCCCCTGGGCTCTGTCTGGGATCCTGTTCCCAAGGATTTGTTTGCTTTGGTTAAAGCCGATGTGTACGGACGTCAGCACGCACGAGCGTGTGCACACGCTCCCTGTTTGTTCCCACAGATCCCTGCAGGTGCAATGACGTGATAACTCACACTCGCCCCTGGGATATCACTAATTAAGGGCGGAGGCCGGAACACGCGTGCCAGACGAGATGCACGTGGTGTTCAGGGCCTTGGTCGATGGTCGTTTCCGATGTGTTTCGTCCTCTGTGGTGCTCAGTCAGCCGGGAGACAACTGGACACTTCATCTCAGTGCCGTTTGCCAAAATTATTAGTCCTCAGACTAAGGGGTAAATGCTCCAAGTACCCCCACTTCAAAGGTAAATTATTAAGAAAGTAAGATAATAGAGTATTAGCCCACAGTATTGTAAACCGCACATATTCCTGTTCCTGTGTGAGCTGTGCAGACTGTGAAACCCAAGACGGACGCCTGACCTCTGAGGGGCTTGTTGTCCACGCCAAAGGAGAATATGTGTTTCTACAAAAACAAGCAACAAGCATATTCATTCATTCCTGAGGAGGGAGAAAAATCAAGGGAACAGGTAGCCCAGCCATGTCCACTGTGTAAATGCAGAGTGCACACCTCCAGGGTGCTTTGTTAGCTCTTCCCAGTGTGACCGTCGCCGCATGCTTACCGCCAGCTGCACACTGACCGCCACCACACGCTGTGACTGCCAGCCAGGCAATGTGACTGCCAGCCGAACATTGACTGCCAGCCACGCACTGTGAGCGGCTCACCTCAGGGAGGTCAGCACTCCCTGTGGGTGAAAGGTTTCCAGAGATGAGAGGGGCTTTGCCCTGAGTCATCTTGAAAAGGCAGACGTGACACTGTGATGGGGAATCTTTAGACTTCCCTGCAAGGAAGGCTAGACCCCGTGGACACTGAGGTTGGTAACGGAGCCGCTGACACGTTAGCCAGGACACTGTGTGCACTTGTCTGTGTTCAGACACAACGATGCTCAGGGTTTTTGTCATCTTTGTCTTGGTCCATCCTGGTCACAGGGTGGACTTGTGTGATGTCCACGCTCTGCAAGGTTCTGTTCAGCAGGAGAACAGCACCGGCTGGCCGTGAGTGTGGACGTTCTCGGAGAGCAGCAAGGCCTACCTGACAGTGTTGGGGACCGCCCGGCGCCCCAGATGTGCTTCTCTCCTCCACCTTGAGTTTGCATGTGTTCTGTCGTGAGCATGTAGTATATGGGGAGGGGCGGGGGGGAAGTTGTTTTTTTAAAGAATAGTTTTCTGGCATAAACATAGAGGTTTAGGAGGAGGCACGTAGAATTGGAGACAGACATCCTTTGGGCAACTTCCACGTACAGGGTTGTGAGTATGGAAAGGAAAAAAAAAAACAAAGACATTTTGATGAAAAATCAATTTGATTTTAAAAGCAGCTTTTTGTAGCCTTGTGGTTTGAACTCGTACATGGTCAGTTCTCAGCCTCTGTCAACGATGCAGGCAGAGGGGTAAGGTGTGGTCGGTGACTCCTCTCTGACACAGTGGGTAGTTCTCCCATTAAGGGTGTGCTGCCTGTTTCCTCAGGAGCCTGGGCGCTCACCTTGCAGAGGGGTTTGCACTGCAGTGTACTCCACCCTCTCCCCCTCCTCCCTTTCCCTTCTGCCCCTCCTCCTCCCCTCCCTTCTCCCCTCTCCCTTCCTCCTCCTCCTTCCCCTTCCCTCCCTTCCCCTTCTGGGCCCTACTCCCCTCCCCTTCTCCTTCTCTCCCCCTCCTCATCACCCTTCTCCAGACCTAGAATGTTCTTGTTCATAAAGAGCCAGAGTGGGCATAGGGATAGGATTCAGACCTCTGATTTCAGGGGAGAATCCACAATTAGACCCCGTCTCTGCACACACTCTATAATTAGCCCAAACTAAGAAACTAAGTGGGATTTTCATTGTTTACCCTTTCCATTTCAAAGTTTACTAGCATTTTACTTGAATCCCCCAGTTTGTTGTATATGCTGTTTCCTCTTTTCTTATTAATATATGAAATAATACGGAGAAGTTACAATAAAATTCTTTCATCTTGGTCCTAAGAATCTGAGAAGATCTGTAGGTCAGAGAAACTTCTCAGTATCATTTAGAGCCTGTTTCTTTAAGAGAAAAATTAGCAGTGACAAACTTTTTGGTATTTCTGGTAATGATGTGGTAACAAGAGGCTTATCACTAAAAATGCCCTTGAGCAAGGGGATTTTTTCTTTTAACTTCCATTTCTTCCTTAAACAAACATCATTAGAACTTGCCCTATATCAAAAAGCCAAAATGATCCTTTGATATCTGCCAAGTGCTTTGAGATAATAGCCTTTTTATGTATAATGCCTTTTTTATTTTTTTAAAAAATTTTAATGTTTTTTATTTATTTTTGAGAGTCAGAGAGAGACCGCACAAGCAGGGGAGGGTCAGAGAAAGAAAGATACAGAATCCGAACAGGCTCCAGGCTCTGAGCTAGCTGTCAGCACAGAGCCTGATGCGGGGCTCGGACCCACAAACTTTGAGATCATGACCTGAGCTGAAGTCGGATGCTTAACTGAGCCACCCAGGCACCCCTATATAATGCCTTTTTTAAAGTGTTTATTTTAAGAGAGAGAGAGGTAGTGAGTGAGCAGGGGACAGACAGAAAATAAAGGAGAGAGAATCCCAAGCAGGCTCCACACGGTCAGCCTAGAGCCCAATGTGGGCTCTGAAATCATGACCTGAGCCAAAATCAAGAGGCAATGCTTTAACTGCCTGAGCTCCCTAGGGACCCCAGATAATGTATAGTTTTTAAAGTAACGATAAAAATTCCACCAAAAGACCCCAAATTCCTCATTTATTTTTTCAAATGTGTCACATAAGACTAAAATGTATATTAATATCTCACCTGGAAACATTATCTGTCCAATTTTCACAAGCCAGGAATATCAGATACAAT